TTTTTATTTGGAACTGAGTAACGCCGCAACGTTGCCAGCAGAAACCTGGTATCTCGATGCTGATGGTTGCGGCTCCATAGTAATCGCTGATTTTACTGCTGGTGGATCTTCTGAGAGCCCTTCAAGGTTTATAAAACTCAGTTTCCAGGTGGTCAACACACATTAAGTTCTCCCAATCATAGTATTCCATGTGATGTACACCTATACCATGTTCATTTGCATATCGACCGTGAAAATACCGAAAACATTATTGCATGGGTGATATGCAAATTAGTTTGGGCCAAAATAAGTGACTGCCTAAAAGTACCATTACTGTTGTTCAAATTTCATGTCACTCGGCAAGTATATTCATGTACCCTAAGGGGAAAATATCGTACTTCTAAATATTGTTTATTCCGAAAAACTGTACTCCTGAAGGGACTACTTTGTTTGCTCTCGGACCTCATTTGCATATGGGTTGTGGAAATACCGATTTTGATTTCAGGGACGAATCAAAATAAACTGCAGTACATATGTAATAATTACCGGTATTTCTTTTTCATAGATGGATAAAATGGGCAATCCAACATGCTCCAGAATAAGCCGTGCTATACCTAGTAATAATAAACCTACACCCGTATCAACGTTGTGTGTGAGTGAGACGCTGAACATGATGGCTATTGGTTTCACAGATGGTACTGTTACTCTTATAAAAGGAGACGTCCTTCGAGATAGGTATGTAATTATGTCAGCTATCATTATTTGTCTAATTTTATGTATTTTACATAATTTTTGACCAAATGCACACAATTTTCGATTAGTAACAAGTCTTGATCCACATTTTGGGAAAAATATTGAGTTTTTTATTTTGTAAATTGTGACAAAAGTTGGTTTGGTGTTCAAAGTAAAAGTATTGAATCACTGTTCTTCCAAAGACGAGTCTCACTATCTACAAGCAATATGTCTGTGTCCCAAATGCTCACCTGAACATAATTTTTTCAATTCAGGGCTCTTCATTGGTAAACTGACAATTTAATCTAATAGATAGTCATGAAATTTATTAAGGATGTCATAACATAGTCCCTCTATACCGGTAGATGGACTGTGGAGATATTAATTATTATTATACATCTGTCATCGTAAATTGCAGCGTGCTGTAATTTTGCGGTATTTTACAGGGTATTTCCATCCTGCCATATTAGAAAATGAAAATTCCAAATATGGAATGATTACGTGCATAAGCGTCATCTAATAATAAAAACAAACAAGGCTGTCACCAGAGTTCGACCGGACTCCACACAATGAAGTTAGCTGATTCTGTTCTAAACTTGTTGGATTTTGGCATTCCCATGATGTATCATTGGAAGGAAAATAAGATGTATAGTAATAAGGTTATTACGAGCATACTGCAAAGTATGCACTCGGACAGTATGACATCGACCTCCGCTTCCCGTTGGTCGATACTCTCGCTGTACTTCGTGCATACTTTTTGGTATCCTCGTAATAATCTCATAATATTTCCAGAATATCTATAAACACACTGTAGCACAACACAACACAATATAGTATCTTCCATGAAAATACAAAAGTTGACAAAACTCAGCACAAATGGTGGTCACCCAAAAAATGAATGCTATGATCTAAAAAAAACAGATGATATCTGGTATTAAGATATTTTGATCCAGTGTATCCTTCAACTCTATTTTCACGACCCCCCCCCTCCCCTCCTTTCCCAAGTATTTGGTTTTTATAGTAGAGAAAAAACATTGTACAACTCTTTTTGTCACTGATTGTTTTTCTCTCTATTTCAGGCATACAAAGTTACGGACTATTCACCAAGACAAATCTCGCATTACAGGATTAGCTTTCAAACATTCACACAAGTATTCCATTCTATTTATTGCATCTGAAACCAATGTTTTATCCGTCAATATTACTGCCAAGGACAGAAAGGTATGTGGAAAGCACCCATTTCTATGTGTACAGAAGCCCTTGATTCTCAGGTTTCTTTGGCTTATTGTTTTCACCACCAGTTTCCTCTTTTCATCACAAACTCACAAACTAGTCCTGTTTATAGTCTACACTTTCCTACACAGATTGAAACAAAAATAGCCACATTTTTTGAGTAAAAAATGAAAATTTACTCTTATTTTGTCTGTTGGCTCCAAAATGAGGGTTTATTTTCAGAAATATTGAAAAATATAAAAAAAAGTGCAGAAAAATTGGGCAAGAAAATATGTTGGTGAGAAAGCTGGAATATAATTATGCATTTTTTGTATTGTTTGCAAAACTTAGTTGAAGGCTCTTCCAATTTGGGTAACATGGCCAAAACCCATCTCTGAAAGTCACGGCATTCACTGATTAAAAACTGATGCATTGCGGCATTTATTGACTGAATTATTTATTTCCTTCACTACGATAAATCTACTCATTGTAGTGCAAATTCTGCTTCAGGTACTAAACACAAATAAGTGGCAATACAGGTAACAACTCAAAACTCTGGTGGACATCAGATTAATTTTGACGAAAATTACTTTACATTGAATATTTATTTTGTAATATAGTCCATCTTTGTTTGTCAAACAAAGAAAACATTGTATGATTCTGTGGCTTGATGGCACCCCAAAATATTAAAAAATCACAATCGAAGCTACAGAACTGTACAAATGATGTTTATGGCAAGGCAGATATATTGCAAACACCCCTGGTGTTGCAGTTATTACAGAAATATGTCAAACACAATTTTTTCACTTAAACCCGAAGAAAAAGAAAAATTTCCCATCATTATTTCTGTTTCAGGAGCATCTCGATAGTTGCGGTAGTTCTCTTCATTGTAGTGTACTTAGTGATAGCACACAAGACTATCAATTTGTGATGGGTCGCAGTGATGTAAGTATTAACTTCTAGCAATTTAATTCAATTGGGTGATGCTTGAATGGTAGTATGGGGGGGGGGTCTTTGTTGACCATTATAGAAACTGGTCGTCTAAGTTATTTTCAAGCTTTCAGATGATATATAGTCTGTTATAGTAAAATACTTAGTAACGGATTTTGAATATCTGGATTCCAGATCTATTTTTAACTTTTTCTCCTGTCACTACCCTAACTTGCTCGAGTCAAACTCTCTTTTAAACATCTAGTCATTTTATGGTTCATGATAATAATAGTCAGTAGTTGTTGAAATAATATAATTCACAACTCTTGTTTATATTTCATCTCTTTTGAAATTGTTTATTTTCAGGCAGTTTATTTTTACCAGTCTGATGGACGAGGTCCTTGTCTTGCGTTTGAAGGTGACAAATTACTATTAAAATGGTACAGAGGTTATCTAGTAGTTGTCAGCAAGGAAAATAAAACAATACCAAGGCCTGCAGCAGGGTGAGTCAGATTATAAATACCGTAAAAACCCTCAAATAAGAGCCACTTTGTAACACTTTCATTTCTGGGTGGTGCTTATTTGAGGTAACATGTTGACAACTTTGTAGCCAGTGGCTCTTAAACCA